ATGATGATGATGATACATGATGATACATGATTATGATGATACATGGCACATGATACATGATGATACATGATATGATGATACATGATGATGATGATGATGCACGATGATGATACACGATGATGATGATACATGATAATGGTGATGATACATGATGATGATACATGGTGATTATGATACACGATAACAGTGATGATACATGATGATGATGATGATACATGATGATGATACATGATATATGATGATGATACATGATGATGATGATGATGCACGATGGTGATACACGATGATGATGATACATGATGATGATGATACATGATGGTGGTGGTAGTAAAGGATATTAATGGTTATGAAGTCAATCTCCGAATATAAGTAAAATTTACAAAACGAATCATACCTTTTCTCCCTTTGATTGTATGGTATCTTCCATATAGGTAGCAAACCCTTCGGACAGCCATTCTTCTGTCCAGTCCTTAGCGCCGATTAAAAGCCCAAACCACGCGTGAGATACCTCATGTGCTACACGTAGTCTCAGGCTGCTATCACTGGCCAAAATTGATTGAGATAAAAACGCTAAATTTGGACTGAAAATAAACAAACAAAAATAAMGAATTTAGATTTTTTTTAAAAATAAAAATCTAAGACTATCATTGATAGATCATAAAGTGATGTTATGCGATGTGGTAATGTTATGTCAGGTGGTGGATGTAATGTGGTGAAGCAGTGACGTGGTGTAGTGTTGAGAAGTGGTGTACTGTGATGTGGTGTGAAGTGCTGAGATCTGACGCGGTGTGGTGTTTTGATTTAGTGTACTGTGATGTGGTGTACTGTGCTGAGATGTGACGTCAGGTGGTGTGGTGTTTTGATTTAGTGTACTGTGATGTGGTGTACTGTGCTGTGCTGAGATGTAAAATGATGCAATGTGGTATGAAGTGATGCTATTTGTGTCATTAAGTGTGATATGGTTAGCAGTATTTTAAGGCTTTGGTGAAGTCTTTTGTAGATTGGTGCGCTGTATATGTTGTAGTTTGGTAAAGTCTTTTGTGGATTG